CCACCAGGGAGCGTTTCTGCAGTTGCCTGGTGTAAATTTTCTAGTTTAAAGCCCTGTGCACAAACTCGGAGCAGTAGATAGCTGTGCCGTCGAGACGCCTCACACTGGAGAGCGGTCAGGCCTTGCCTTCTTCCCTTTCTTTTGTAAAGCCCATTTGATTTAAGCCTGTCGCCTTTTACACCACTAGCCGCTTTTCTTTGCCCAGTTTTGTATGCTTGCTTTCATTTTAAAGATGATCATCTGGTCATACAAATATGAAGTCCATAAACTCGGGGTAAGGGGACTGTCACCCACCACGCACACGTAACTGGTGGCCTGTTTGCTGGTCCCCTGGAGCAGCCCTTGCGCGCCTTTTACATAACCGTGGGCATCCTGGTGTCTCGCCGTTCACTTCCAGTTGAATAGTGACTACAGAAGATTAGTATTTTTTAGTGGCTTCACAGCTCCTTTTAGGATTTTTCTGACCCAGTGTTCTGGTTGCTTCTAAATGTGTTTTAATGATTGTCTGTGCATTGGTCCATTTCCTGTGTTTGGGAAGAGAGCATTCAGCAGCGTTAGGATATTAGGGTCTCCCGGGGGCTGGGGGTAGGTCTCGGCGCTACCACTGTGATGGCCTGAGCCTGAGTTCGATCCCCAGCCGGGGAGGTAGCCCACGTGTAGCACAGCAGACCATGCCTCACCCTCCTCTCTCACACGCTGCTCCCCTCCGCATTGTATTTCAGTGAATCCTCTTGATCTGCTCCCCACTATATCTCTATTGAATCCTCTCACCCCTGCACCTCTGGCCTACACCCCAGTTCTTCTGTGCAAAATAAACAAAAATCTTACAATAAAGAGATAATTTCTCTAAAAAATGAAAGAAACTACTTTCTCTTTTTCTGTGATTGTTACTGTGACTTTGGGTCTTTGGTATCTATTTATTTCTTAGGTTTTCACTTAGTCATAAAGGGGGGTTATATTTATTTATTTTTATATAGGATGCCATTATTTTTTATTGCTTACATCAGTTGACATTCAAGTCGGACTTCTCTTTTTCTTTTAGGATGTTTTGGAAGAATGCATGTCTCTTCCCAAGCTGTCCTCTTACTCAGGATGGGTGGTAGATCATGTCTTACCCCACACACAAGAGAACCCACCTGTCTCCGAGACTTCAGTCTCTTCTAGATCTTCTTCAAGCCTGGATCAGCCTTCCTTCATCCCTGCATCTCCCAGCAGAAACCCTGCCTCCTCACCTGTCTCCCCGGTGACACCTGATAGAACCAAGGTATGCTTTAGGCAGACAAAACTGGGGTACAGGCCAGAGGTACAAGGCGGTGAGGGGATTCACCAGAGACAGACTGGGGAGCAGAACAGGCAGGTTGATAAAGTACACTGTGGTGACTCTTCTCTTTGCCCCTGCACCACTGGCCTGTACCCCAGTTCTGCATAAATAAGTCTAAAAAAATTTAAAAAGGACTGTAAAGAGGGCTTCCCTGGTGGCACAATGGGTTAAGTTACAGCAACTGTTTGCAGCCATAGTAGCACAAGTTCGATCCCCGGCCAGGGGATCAGACCTCTCCTGTCTCCCCACAGCTCCCCTCAGCAGTGTACTTCAGTCAAACCAGCCTATTGTGTTCCTTACTCTCTGTGGTGAATCTTCTCACTGTCCCCCTACCCCGCACCTCTGGCCTGTACCCCAGTTCTTACATGCATAGACAAATAAATCTTTGGGGGGAAAAAAGGAAATGTAAAGAAGCATTTTAAATTGCAATAAGACATGTGTGACGTGAGACTTGCCATCTGCCCATCTCTAATGTCCAGGCCATTGGCACTTGGTGTGCTCCATGTCTAGCTTCAGCGCTTCCCGGTCTAAAACACTGCTCATTCGTCCAACCCCCAGGGCCCTTAGTCCCAGTAACCGCCGTCCTGCTGTCTCTCTCTGAAGGTGACCCGTTTTGCTTAACGCCCTGGAACTGCCCGTGCAGAGCTGGACTGGGGTGAGGGTGGCGCCGAGAGGGGGGTGTGCAGGCGGCACCGAGCCTTGTGGAGATGGAGCCGTTTGCCCTTGCATGGTGGCCTTCGGGCAGGCTCCACAGCAGAAGGTTGCACAGGACCGTGGCTTATGCATACAAGTGCCCGTCACTCTGGTGAAATCTGAACACATTCTGTGAATTGTGAATTCAGGCCAGTGTCAGTGTGCTGTTCTGGTGTTTCACTGTATTCGTGAAAGATGTTTCCATTGGGGGGACCTGGGCGAAGAGTGCTCAGACAGATGGAAGCTGGCAGCCAAAAGCAAAGCAGGCCCAACCCCAGAGCAGCAAGGTTTACCGAGGAAACAGATCAAGGGCATGTCATGAAAAGCCCAGTCTGACTGCACTGTTTGGTCGGTGTTCGTGGGGGTGGGGCTGTACTGACTGCACAGCTTGATCCTTCCCTCTTCTCTCCATGTAGGGCAAACATGAGCCCCAGCACACAGAATCTGCGGCGCCTCAGTCCTCGCGGGGCGCCAGAGTGGAAGGCTGCATCCGCATGTATGAGCTGGTGCACAGAATGAAAGGAGCGGTACGTGGCCCGGAAGCAAGGCTGTCCCGGCCCGGGCGGCGGCGCTTCACCGCACCCCCGGGGGCTGGCATCGCCCACCACGAGCGGGCGCCATGTCCCTCTAGGGTAGTTCTGCCTCGGCAGGAGACTCACGTGAGGGAACGGCAAGCACGCGTGGATTTCAGCTTGGCTGCACGGCCGAGCTCTGCTGTTCTGTAGCTAGGTGCAGAGGACAGAGCTCCCGGGTCCATGTAGGCGAATGCCTGTCCATTCCCCGCCTCGCTGGAGGGCCATGAGCTCTGTGTGACAGCTCGGAGGAGCTTTCCGAAACAGCTGGGCTTGCAGGCCAGCCCAGAGGGGAGTGGCTCCTTGACCAAAGGTTTTGAGATGCGCGGGAGGGTTCCACCTGCGAGCGGCGTGGGAGCCCCCGCCGGGCGGCCGCGAGCTCGGGGGCCTGTCGATGCTTCAGGAGGGCCTGCGGCAGTGGCAGGAGGAGCAGGAGAGGAAGGTGCGAGCGCTCTCGGAGATGGCGTCGGAGCAGTTGAAGCGCTTTGACGAGCGGAAGGAACTGAAGCAGCATAAAGAATTCCAGGACTTACGGGAGGTGATGGAGAAGAGGTGAGTCTCCCTGCGTTCTGAGCGCCAGCGGGGCGGCCGGCTCGCCTTCTAGCAGGACACCCCACGCTGGCCCTCTGATCCTTGAGCCAGAGGTCTGTAACTTACACAGTGACTGGCCTCGGGTGATGAGTGCTGTGGCCAGGAGCAGAGAGGCTTTGAGGGGCGCTGGAGCAGTTTCGGAAGCTCCCTAACTGCTCCTCTGGCCATTTCCCCCCATTCAGCTCCAGAGAAGCCCTGGGCCACCAGGAGAAGCTAAAAGCTGAGCATCGGCACAGAGCGAAGGTCAGAGCCCGGGGCAGTGAGGGTTGCTGTGCTGGGGTGGGCATGGCCTGCCTAGGCCAGCCTTCTCCCTGCTCTGGGCCCTTCTGGGAAAACGCGTAGCCCTCACAGGACTGGAGGAAGGCAGAGAGGGGAGGTCCAGAGCCCTGCGAGAGGGCTAACCTGGCTAATCTCTGTAGATTCTCAACCTGAAGCTGCGGGAGGCAGAGCAGCAGCGCCTCAAGCAAGTGGAGCAGGAGCGGCTGCGGAAGGCCGAGGGCCAGGCCCGCCTGCGCGGCCTGTACGCGCTGCAGGAGGAGGTCCTGCACCTCAGCCAGCAGCTCAGCTCCTCCGAGCAGCACGGCGACCTGCTGAAGGTCGACCTGTCCGCCCTCCAGACCCGCGGCAACCAGCTGTGCGGCCTCATCTCTGGGATCATCCGGGCCACTTCTGAGGTGAGGGCCCTCAGAGCCCCTGAGGCTGCCTTAGAAGTGCAGCAGAATCGCTTTCTGACCTCCTGCTGTTGCCCACATGGCTGGACAGCACCGCCGGGAGGCTCGATCAGGTCAGAGGTGGGAGGGGCGTGGAACCTCCCTTGGGGGGCAGGCCTGGTCGCAGCGCCTCTTCCCCTGGAGGGGAGTTGGCCAGTGGCTTCCGGTGTTCCTGACACCTCGCTAAAGTAAATTTAGTGAAATTTTAATAAAAAGCTCGGATTGTTTCAAAAAAAAACTTAGTGATGGGGAGATTCTCTCATAAAATACAAAATCTTTTTTTTTTTTTTAAGATTTATTTATGTATACAGAACTGGGGTACAGACCAGAGAGGTGTGGGGGGCAGTGATAGTAATCACCAGAGACAGGGTGGGGAGCACAACAGTTAAATCAAAGAAGCACAGTGCTGAGGGGAGCAGCGGGTGAGACAGGAGAAGTCTGCTGCGCCCTGCAGATCAACTCCAGGGCCGGGAAGCAAACTTGCATCGAAGCGGCTGCGGCCAGCTTGCTTGCAGTGCTGTGCTTTAACCTGCTGTGCCACCAGGGAGGGCCCTAAAATCTTTTCCAACTACTTTCAAGCAGTTGCTTCTTGCCTCGAGACAGATTAGTGAGACACTCACAAGCCTGGAGAGTTTTATGGTTAATCACTTTATTATAAAGGTCCCACTTTATTTCACCGAGGAAAAGATTATCTAGAAAGAGAGGTAACCATAAAGATATTAAATTGTACTATTCTTTCATCGTATTCATTCAGTTTTCTTGGATGTTTAAATGTGAAAGCAGAGAGACAAAAAAGAAATCCTGCTTGGTGAAAGAACATGTGACTCTGAGCGGTCTCAGGCTGTGGCCGCTCACTGTGCGGTCTTAGGGTGTGGCCGCTCACTGTGCACGGGCAGTTCGGCGTGGGCGCGAGGGCGAAGGCGCACGAGCGTGGACCGCACGGCCCCCGCAGACCAAACCTGAACTTCTTGGCACGGAGAGCCCTGTGTTTGATGGGGGATCACTAGCTCACTCCAGCCTCTGTCCCACTTATGGGAGAATGGCCAGGGGACAGAAGAAGCAGTGTATAGAAAGGGAAAATAACTGGTAACTTTGCAAATAAGCGCAGAGTCGCCCATCCGACCTGGACTGCAGATGTAGACACAGCCCCATTTTTGTCTCGACCACTGCCACATGTTTAGCACACCCAGCCAGCATCGTCTGTCCTCAGATGCTGTGGCGGGCAGGTTGGTATCACCTGGCAGGACAGGAGCACAGCAGGTCTCAGCACGTTGAGCGGGTGGTGCCCTGTTGGCAGCGATTCTAGTTTCAGAAAGGTGTAAGTCGGGCCAGTGTGCTGTTCCGCCCGGGCCTGGGCAGCCCCCTGAGCTCTGTGTCTGTCACGGGCAGAATGGCTGTCCCACGGCGGAAGACCAGGCCGTGGCAGAGCGGGTGCTGCAGGAGATGCGCGACCTCCTGGCCAGCCTGCAGCAGGAGCTCGCCAGGGCCTCTGAGGAGAAGCGGAGGCGGGACGAAGAGGAGGCCCAGGCGAAGCTGCGGGCAGCACAGCTGCAGCAGCGGCCGGACGACTGCCGAGAGCCCCCGGCTCCCAGCCTGGGCCCAGGGCGAAAGCAGAGCGAAGGTGGGTTTGCTGTGCACACGGGCCCTTGAACCTCTGTGGCGTGCCTTTAATACCCAAGAGCTTGGGGCCTCCTGCTGAGGAGATGCTGGCTTGGAGCCACGGCCCTGAGGGACTTGTCCTGCCTCCTGGCAAAGCGACTTTGACGATGGCACCTCCACGTGTCTGGTCCTTTGCTCAAGAGGAAATGGGTGGGTTAATGTGACGAGGGCAGTTGGTAAAGGTGAGGTGGCTGGACGGTGCCTGGCTCCTACGTGGTCCGTGAGTGCCGGCTTCTGCTGCCCGCAGGCCTGCAGGTGAAGGTGCAGGACAGCACGATGCAGTGGTACCGGCAGCTGCAGGACGTGAGCAGTCAGTGCGTGCTGGCCTTCGAGGCGCTGACGAGCAGCAGAGACAGCCAGGTGGGGCGCGCTCCAGGCGGGAACCCTCAGCCTGGCTCCTCTCTCGGCAGCCTGCTCCCCCAGAGGGATGGAGTCCGCGTCACCTTCCCTCACGCTAAAGGCAGCTGTAAAGGACTGTCTGCCTTCTATGTTCTCTTCCGGCAGGCCAAAAAGATAAAGATGGACCTGCAGAAGGCAGCCACCATCCCCGTGAGCCAGATCTCCACCATCGCAGGTTGGTCCGGGCAGGGCCGCGTACGGCTCTCCGCTTCGTTTACTCCTTTAGACTCCAAATCTGCTTGTCCCGTAACATCGGCAATTATTGGCGTCGGGTCGGGCCTGTCGGTGACGTGTGTCCTGTTCACATATTTGCCCCCTTGCTTCCCCTTCAGCAGACACGAGGTAATCGCGTGTGTGTTGACTCAGTCTTTAAAAGCTCCGCTGAGCTAGCAGTGAGTTACTCAGGGTGGCTCTTACCTGAAGCTGAAAGTTAGTGCTGGGAACCTCAAGGGAGCCTGGTGGCTTACATGCACAGTGACGCTTTTCCAGGCTCAGAACCTGCCCTGCATCCTTTAGGCCCTTTTTCTCTCCAGAGACAGAGAGTAAGAACCAGGTGGGGGAGACCCTCTGTCCTCTTCTTCCAGACAGAGGTTCGTGCGTGTCCGGCTCTGGGTGAGGAAAGGCCCGCTGTGCCTCAGAGGCTGGCGGCTGTCCCGGCTGACTTGCCGCCCCCTCAGAGCAGGTCTCGGTCCTGCCCGAGAGGCTGTCAGAACTCATCTGTCAGTGTCAGGTGGAAACTCTTTCTAGGACAGGCCAGGTGTAAATAAATTAACAGGTATCACTTTCTGGAACTTGAAGCCACTTCATTTGATGGCAGCAGCCCCGCAGCCTCCCCGCGCCGTCACCCTCGGCTTGTCCTCGGGCTTGCCCTCAGCTGACCGGAGACGGTCTCGTGTCCTTCTACAGCAAAATGGCCATCAGGTGTGGGCACCTCAGAAGCCGCCCGCCACCGTGTTCACCTGTCAGCCTCCTGCTCAGAGGCGGCGGCGGCCTCCCGGCCCTCGTCGGCCCTGTGCCCTGGCTTCCCCTCCCATCTCATGCGAGGCCCTGTCACCCATCACCCTTCTCCCGCAGACGCCCTTGCCTTGAAGTGTGCTGGAGTCACACCCTCAACTGTTCCCTTGGCTCCTCATCTGTTCGGTGAGCTCCAGTCTACTCCGGCTGGCGCTGCAATTGTCTCCTTCCTCACGACCCTCCACCCGTTTGGCTCCCGCCAGCCACTGTTCCTGGCGCCCCTCCCCCCTCTCTCCTTGAGGCGCTTCCCTCTCCTGCCCCCCTGCAGCTGGAGGCGGAGGCTCCCTTGATCCCCGTTCTCACCCCTACGTCCATGCATCCATCCCTTGAGCAACACTGGACACAGCTGAGGCCCAGTCCACCTTCGTCTAGTTCAGCCCTTTCCTCCGAGCCCAGCGCCCCGGCAGACGGCCCTGCTCAGGTGTCTCCCACGCCGCAGGTGCAGTATGTCCAGGGCTCAGCTCGGCGTCCCGCTGCCACGCCGCTCCTATGCCCTGGGGGTGGGTCGCGCACCCCTGCGCTCGCTCGGCCGGGACGCCTGCTTGCTCGTCCCCACCTCATCTCGACGGTGCTGTTCTTCCTTTTCCTGCCCACTTCCCACCTTGACTTGTCATCACAATAAGCCCTTGTCCAGCGTAGCGTCCAGCCAGACCCAGTCATGTTCTAGTCAGTGTGCACCCGGTGCTGCGTGACCAAGGAGGAGCGCTCCCTGCTGCGTCTTGCAAGCTGGCTGTCCCTGGGAAGCCAGGCCGGGCGCAGAAGGCCAGGGCGGGGGAAGGCGTGTGGGGCAGGCTGCAGAGGCCGAGGCGGCCAGAGCTGGAGCCGACTTCTAACCAGGAGGCCGCAGAAAGGGCCTGGGGGGAAGTCATCCCGCCAGCCCTTGAAGTCAGCCAGACAGAGAGTGAGGTCACGGGAAGCAAGCTGAGTATCTCTGTATGGAGAAGTCCCCACAGGGACTGGCAGGTCTCTGTGACGCGTGAGTCTGCGTTTTGTTTTATGCAGGAGTATTAGCCGTGGGCCTTAGAATACCCCAGTATTTGATTCTGTCCCTTCCTACTTTTCTCCCTAAGAAATGCTTTTGACTTTTTATTAATGGAACAGTATTTTGGAGAGGAGGTTTTGGAGAGCTTGGCAACGTTTCCTAAGTGAGTCGGAGCTTGCCGGGCTGTTTCTGAACAGGAGAGGCTGTATTCACTTCAGCTTTGGTGGCCAGTCACGGACACCTGTTCATAGCCGTTTACGCCAAAAGGGGTGTCTGTCCTCAGGTAAAGGGGACTCGTTGGCCCCCGGGCAGGAGGGGACTGGTCTCCGGACCAGAACCTTGAGGACCCGTCTCGCCCCCCGCTGCCCTGCATGTGTGCGCCACTTCCGCCACCGCGGGCTGGCCTGAGCCGGCAGACTCGCTGTGGTTCCTGACTCCGGCAGAAGCCCGCGCCGGCTGGGGACACACGGCTTTAGTACAGTGTATCCAAGGATGGAGGAAGGCAGACCCCTGAGAAAGGGGGACGATCACTGTGAGTAGGGGAGTTTCTTTAAAAGATTTTTCTTAGCGGGCCTCCCTGGTGGCCTGTGAGTTGAGTCTCAGCGCTGCTCCCCTCAGCGGTATATCTCAGTAGACCCGCCTGTTCTGTTCCCTACTCTCTGGCGAATCCTCTCTACTCCCCCCTCACACCTCTGGCCTACATGCTCTCATAGAGTCTCTCATAGAGGCAGTAGCTCTGGTATCCCCAGGCACCCGTAGCAAATCAACATCTGTCATCTCTGAGCCAGTTTCCGATTCAGTCCATCCACTGTTAGGGATTCAGTGGAAGTAGCACTGTGTCCTACATGCTTTTGAGCCCCACATCACGTGTGTGTTTGTCATGTTTTTCAGAGCCCCTAACTCTGAACTCTGAGGGTGCCCACACCTGGATTTGCACGGAGGCCTTATTCTTAACATTGACGGAAAATGGGATATTCTGCTCTGGCACCCATTAACTGACTTTCCTGTCACACCCAGGCTCGAAGCTGAAGGAGATCTTTGACAAGATCCACAGCCTGCTCTCCGGCAAGACCGTTCAGTCTGGAGGCCGCTCCGTGTCCGTCACACTTAACCCCCAGGGCCTGGACTTTGTCCAGTACAAACTGGCAGAGAAATTTGTGGTGAGAAACCTGGCCTGGAGGTTGGGAAGAGGAGGTGGGTACGAACCTTGCTCCGGTGTCACCCTGAAATCGCCACCTCTCTGTGTTCTAGAAACAAGGGGAGGAGGAGGTGGCCTCCCATCATGAAGCCGCGTTCCCCATCGCGGTGGTGGCGTCGGGGATCTGGGAGCTGCACCCCAGAGTGGGGGACCTCATTCTTGCTCATCTGCACAAGAAGTGTCCGTACTCCGTTCCTTTCTACCCGGCTTTCAAGGAGGGGACGGCCTTGGAAGACTATCAGAGGTGAAGCGTCTTTCTCTTTCATCTGTCCCAAGGCGGCGAGGGGGACTGATAGACTAGGCCTCCCTCCCGTAGCTTCTCGTTTGTTCCTTGAATGTCTACAGAGAATACGTCTTTCATGCAGAGCTGGACAGTTGTTGGGATTTGTGGGTCTAGTACCAGTATCAGTCTAGCTTTACAGAAAGAACATAGGCTCTAGAGTCCAGGGCTCTTGGAAGTTTATCCCAGTTTTGGTATTTAACTGCTTCACAGAAATGGGTGAAATCACAGCCTTTCGATTGTTCTTTTCCTTATCTCAAGCCCTGGTAACGAGCTCTGTGCAAACCTCCAGGGTCTATCCCTGTCAGCAAAGGTTTCTACAAACTAACATGCGTGGTAAGGCGCTGTAGGAGCATGCTGTTACTCTTAGCCAGTAAGGCGACCCGGCCCCCTCCCTCCGGCCTTTCCACACTGACCCTCCTCCTCACAGGAAGCTCGGGTACCAAGTGAAGGACTCCAAAGTGGAGCAGCAGGACAACTTCCTGAAGCGCATGTCTGGGATGATTCGTCTCTACGCTGCCATCATTCAGCTCCGGTGGCCGTATGGGAACCGACAGCTGGTAGTGCAGAGGCCCCTGGGCTGAAGTGGGCGGGCCAGACTTGGCCTGCGGGGCGTAGCGACCGTCTGGGGGAGGGGGGCGGTGTGCAGTGGTGCCGCACAGGTGCTCTTGAAGCCCACGGTAGTGCCCAGGGAACTTGGGCTCATCAGAGGCACTTGTTCAGTGACTGGCTCTGCGAGGCCGCGAGGCACTGCCAAAGCCCTCAGCCATCAGTCGTTAAGGTCAAAAGATCTTACTGGAAGAGGAGTAAGACGCTGTCATAGTAGACTTTCTGGGGCCTTATGCCGTCCAGTGGCGCACTGTAGCTCACTCGTGGAGCCTCAGCAAGCTGTTGCATGCCTGTCGGTGACAGGCGTGGCTGGGCCAGGGCTGTGACCTGCCAGCCCGGTTCTTTTCAGAGTATGGAGTAGGAGGATGAGCGGCAAAGGGACTTGGAGATCTAAAGAGAAAGGGCTATAATTTGACTGAACCCAGATGTTTTTATTATGCACCTACTGTGTGCAAAGTCCAGTGCGAAAGGCACCAAGAATGGCAAAGCATCTGTAGGAGTACGTTGGCCCCTGGGGCCCAGCCCTGAAGCCGACGCTGTGGGGCCCTGTGAGGAACTTGTGGGCCTGGCGTGTTGGAAGATTCGACTTCAGGCTTCCCTGGCCTGTGTTGTTTCTGCCCCAGCATGTGCTCGGTTTGGGTGGTCTGGAGGACCATGTCCACATAGTGACCAGTGGATGATCGGGCTCGGAACATCGTGAGGCCCAGTTGTGACCACGCCTGTCTCCCCCCCAGGCTCACCCTCATGGCTTAAATCATGGCTGGCGCTGGCTGGCACAGGTCCTGAACATGGAGCCCCTGTCGGACGTGACGGCCACCCTGCTCTTTGACTTCTTGGAGGTATGTGGTGCCGTTATCGTGAGAGCGGCAGCCGTCAGAGCAGGCTGGGCCACAGCGCGGCTCTGGGGGAGCAGCACAGAGGGGCTGCTGGGGCCCAGCGGTGGGTGGGGCCGGGCGTGCTCGCTTTCCTTCGCCTGAAGACAACCCCTGGTTTTGAGTCTCCTTCCCTTCCCACTTTACCCCGTGTGGATGGCAAGTCGAGGCAGCCCGAGCAAAAAAGGGAGATGACCCTGGGGCTGTGGCTCTGACACCTAGAACCAGGGCGGGGCTCTGCTGCCAGAGCTGGTGAGAACCCCAGGCTCGGAACTGGGGGTCACCAGGCTCTAAGACAGCCCTCGGAGCCTTTTCCTGCAAGTTGTCTCATGGGCTGCTTTCTTGAATTATCTGCCCGGTGAATTGCTGGAGTGGGGAAAAAGAAAAGAATGGCCTCCCTGGGCTGTGTCCCTCAGCCTCAGTGTGGCCACCCGTGCCGCGGCTGGTGTCCCGCCCTGGGACTCCTAATTCCCCAGGAGAAAACAGCCGCTTAGCTGGCGTGAGTGAGGTATCTCCCCCTTCCAGAAGGCCCTGTGCCTCTGTGGGTCCACCACTGAGTGATGAGGTGAAGGGTTTCTGTGGGGCCATTGTCCTAGTGTGCCCGACGTTTCCAGTCACCTCGGGAGCTCCTGAAGTCACGTAGAGGAGCGCGACTCTGGCCGATGAGAACACGGGGTACTCTGCACGGGCCTCGCTGAGGTGGGAGGTGTGCCAGGCCTTTCTGGAGGCTTCCGTCCAGGAGACTCGGAGTGCAAGTGTGCCTCGTTCCGTGCACTTCGCAAATACTGCTTTTTTTTTTCTTTTTTCTTCTTACAAACCCTTCGCCAGCAGAAAACGATTCACTGAAGGCTCTGAGGATGGTTAACGTTTTTGAGCAGTAAAGTATTTTTAAAGTATGAACTTGTTCCTTAGACATAGGCCATTGCACGCATCATAGACTGCAGCGTGGCACAGACTCGCCTCTCAGGCACATCCGTGCGACTCCACTGTCGTCCTTCGTTGCGGCGGCCTGGGCCAAACCCAGACGGCGCTGAGCTGTGCCAGTGCGTCAGTCAGCTGGGTCACCTCGCCTGGCTTGCTGGAGCTCCATGTCCTAATCTGAGTACATGGAGGTATTTCAGGAGAAAAATGACTTTTTCCAGTTAGCTGGCTAGTGGCCTTGTGACTGAAATGCCTGACGGACGTGGGTGGCAGAAGGCTGCTGTGTGTGAGCGGGCATTTCTTTCTCTGGCCTGACTGTGCCCCCCCAGGTGTGCGGGAATGCCCTCATGCAGCAGTACCAGCTCCAGTTCTGGAAGATGATCCTGCTCATCAAGGAGGACTACTTCCCCAGGTATCAGAGCCGCTTGGTGGGGCACCCCTGACATCAGACACCGGGTGCTGCTACCTGCCGGTTTGACTCAGCTAACAGCCCCTGGATTAGTGTGTTGGGGCCCCCCGCCCTGCTCCTCTTTGACGTGTCAGTAACCACACTGGGTATCTCTTTAATACTCTTGGCTGAATGAAAAACAAACCAAGAGGATGTTGGATTCCGATACCTGGCGTTGAACTCTTTCCAGACTCCCTCACGTAGTGTGGCTGGTGATGATGGACAGCCGTGCTGCAGACTGGGAGTCGCACCCTCAGTCACTCAGACGATCCTTGACTCTGAGGACAGTCACCACTGAGTACCTTGTGCTTCCTCGCGCCACGGCCATGGCAGCGCCCACCCCAGCTGCCCACAGACACAGGGGAGGGAACCGTGCTCTCTTCTCCCTTATCCCCCGTTGCCAAGGTCGAGGCCATTTGGCCTTATCTAGAAGACGGCTCTGTGAGTCACAGATCAGCGGCACCCTAACTCCTCTCCGAAGAGGGGTGTGACTCGTCTCCTTTCTCGCCCTGTAGGATAGAAGCCATCACAAGCTCAGGACAGATGGGCTCCTTCATTCGCCTCAAGCAGTTCTTGGAGGTGAGCAGCCCCAGCTGACCGGCCCGCCCGCTCGTGGCCTTGTGCGCCCCCGTGTCGGCCAGGCTTGCCCCTCTAGGCGCACCCGGCTTTTTCTCCACACCCAGCTTTTTGGTATGATTCCCCCTTCACCTGGGCTGCCATTTCACCCTCGTCTGAGAGGCATTCTCCAGACTGCCCGTGGGCAGTGAGCCCAGGAGGTGCGTGAGATTCGCGCCGAGGGCGTTGGCGTATTGCGTGTTGGGTTTGCGCATGTGCTCCCCTCAGGCTCAGGCCTGGGCGGGTAAGTGGGTGCTGCGCCCCTTGAACACCGTGCCCCTGCAGCCGGACTCCTTTCCTACTTCCAAGCGCCAGAAAACCCGAAGGGGTTAGTTTTGACCGCTTAGACTTGTGGTAGGTCTCCCCAGACCCGGCTGCCCTGCGGCCTTTCCTTCCTCGTCCACTGTCCCCACAGTCACTCTGGCTGTTCAGGCTGCAAGCGGTGCCCGGAGAGTAATTACTCTTTTCTTTACCTTTTCTGGGCCAGAAATGTTTGCAGCGCAAGGAGATTCCTGTCCCCAAAGGCTTCCTGACATCCTCCTTCTGGCGCTCCTGACGCTCCCGGCTGCCAGACCAGCTCCGCAGTGCCGCGGCAGAGCAGCAATAAAGCAGCCGCAGGCTCCCCACTGGGGAGGAGTCGTGGAGAGCTGGAACTCCCTGAGCTGTGTTTGTGTGTCCGTCCCTTGTGACTAGGAAGGAGCTTGCGTGGGCGACAGGCTCTGGTGGCCCCTCAGTAGGTCCGTGACCCTTAGGTCTTCACTCGCAGAGCAAAGGGAGTAATGTTCTCACGCCTGTGGGAATTATGGAAGAGGTGCTTGGCGCTGGGTTTCACCCTTCCTTGTCCTTCAGAAAATAGGTGACAGAGCAGCTCGACCAGGCCCTGGCTGAGGTGCGCCCACCACTAAATTCCCCTCACCCCACCCAAGCCCCCTGTTCAGAGGAATCCCAGCAGGAGCAAAGGTGCGCCCTGCCAGGCCGAGCAGCCGAGGCCCAGACCCTCACCTCCAAGCCTGAGCCACAGTTTGGCCTTTCTCAGCGCGCGCAGTTGTAAATCCAGAGCGGCTGCTGGGGGCTGGGCTGGGGCCCCGGCCCGAGGTGCCCAATTGGTGCCCTGGGCCCACCACAGCCACTTTGGGCCAGGAAGCACCTCTTGGTCCTCCTCCTTTGGAGCTGGGTCCCGGGGCGGGGGCGCGTCAGCCAGGGCAGCGCCTTGTTTAGTTTGACCTGAGGTGGGCGGGCACCATTATAGGAGGTTCGCCGAGCTTCGCCTCGAATCTGGCTAAGGAAGGCTGTGAGGGAGGGAGAGCTGCTTGCTGGATTTTAGGTCTTCTGAGAATGATGGCGATCAGTGTGCCTGGCAAGAGCCATGCACAAACCCAGAGCTTGGTGGGGGGTAGGGGTGTGTGGGGAGATTCCCAGAGTGGCCCCTTCCTGCTGCTCCAGGGGCTTAAAGTGACCTTTGCATGAGTGACTGGTGCCAAAACCAAGGAATAAAGCTTGATTCTTAACAGCCCCGCTGGCCTCGCGGGCTCGGTGTGGTCACGTTCCTGCCCTGAGCCCGTGGGTCTCGGGCGCGGTAGGTCCGGGCTCCGCGCGGAGCGGTCTGTGTTCCTTGGGCTCTTCACCTTCTCCTTGGGACAGTCGCTGTTTCCTGGCACCCCTGATGGGTCATGTGCCAGCAGCTGGCCCTGCTTCACGTAGCAGAAGTGGCAAAGTACTGCAGTGTTTCAGGGTGACGCAGCAGCCAGGAGCACTGCGGGAGGAGTCAGGAGGCCTGGGCCACTCACGTCCAGGTTTTGTGACCCAAGCCTTCGTACCCCACCCACAGGACAAAAAGGGGACGAGTTGTCAGATCAGCAGTTTTCCAACTGTCTGGTAGCAGCCTCTTAGGGCAGGGCTTGCCAGCGCGCTGATCCTGGCCCAGGATCCTGGGCCTTGGGCCTGGGGGGGGGAGGCCGCAGGTATCGCTGCCATTTGCTTGGCCTCTGGGCCCAGCGGAGGCTTGGTGCGGGTTTTCACAAGGCGCCCTCCCGAGACACTGCTGCCATCTGCTGGCGACAGGCCTGTGACGAGGCTCTGCGCTGCCTGGTGAGGGTGCTGCCGTCATCTTGCAGCTCCCGCCCCTGAGTGGGAGCTGGGTGCGGCTCCAGAACCCTGTACATGGCAGCTTTACCACCGTCCCTGCTGGGCATGTTGGGGTCCCACGGAAGATCACAGACGGACACATTTCCTCTGCCACAATGAAATGTGACAAATCCCTGAACAAGATGCCCAGTCACTTCCACTTGGAGTTTGTCCCACTCCGTAGAAAGTCACCTGCCAGAGTATTGGAGGCCTCCAGACAGCGTTAACGTCGTCACCTGTCACCCAACACCTGGTATTCTTAGTGGGCTCTTGTTAAACCGAGAAAGGAAAGCGCAGGAGGCTGTGTTGGGTGCCCCGGGCAGCTTACTCCAGAGAAGGGCATGGCTGGCCAACCTGTGGGTAGGCGCGTCAGGCGCGTCGGAGGCATTGAGCAGAACGCTCAGGATGACATTGTTTTTAAATTCAAGTACTTGCTTGCCTGCTTGCATGACCTCATTTCTCAGGCTGAGCGCCCAAATTTTTGTCCTATCCCTGTCCTACATCATCTGAAGCACACTTGCAGAGTGAAAGTGCTAATTAGAAGCCTTACACGTGGCTTGGACAGAGCATGGCACTGTGTGGGGGCTTCTCGCCCAGGTGCAGGAGCGCCCCTGCTGCTCCAGCTTCTAGGAGCACAGCAGCGATGAAGTTGGGAGGGCTCCAAGGGCCAGAGAGCTGTGGCAGGTCTGGTCATTGCCTTCCTCAGACCCGCCTGGAGAAGGCTTGGTGGCTTTCTCAGCTCTGATGAGTGCTGTGGCCTCCAGATGTCTCATGAGCCTATGGAAACGCCTACTTGTCCTCTGGCTTACTGGCAAGCACCCTCTTTTCAAAGTCACAGTTTACAAAGACGATGCAGTCAAGAAACATTTTTCTCTTGGCTCCTTCAGGATGTTTCCACTAAATATAGCATGCCCTGGACAAAATATCTGATAAAGGACATAGAGCCAGTTGGCTAACTTGAGTAAGGCCGATGTGTCAGGTCATAGTATTATCGACGTTAGTTTCCTGGCTTTGTGTTTATAAAACTGAATGTCCTTGGGTCTTCACATACACACCAGCTACGTGAGCACCAGTGAGCACCTGATGTCTGCAGCTTCTCAGTTGATTCAAGGGGAGATGTGTTTGTGCGTATGTGTGAGGTTATGCATCCATAGAATAATAAAGCCAGTCTGGCCACATGTTAACAAAGCAGGGAATCTTGGGAGAGGTTCATGTGTGGGATTTCTGTAGTTTTTGCGACTTTTCTGTACACTTCAAAACTAAAAGATAATTCTCTTCCCTCTTACCCCCAAATAACCAAACCAACAAAGAACAGCCATGTTTACAGTTCTGCTGAGGTGCCAAAACCAAGCTCTTAAACCTCCAACCCTAAAAAAGAGGACCGTGGAGATAAAGGTTATCTGGAAGCTGTCTGAGTATGTAATGTTCACTCTAAACAGGTCTTGTGGAATGCTTCCTAATCAGGAGAAGTGGGTGCTTGGAGTTAGAATTTTCATTAAATGGAGGCTGAGTTAAGCACTTGGCAGTGTTCGATGGTTTGAGCTAAAAATTATTGGAGCACATAAGATAGATTTAATTTAGGGCAGCTTTTCCCAGGGAGTTTTTCTGTGCAGAGCCCTAAAAAAAAGTTCAGCAGCCTCAGAATTTGGGGAAACATGCCTTGAAGGTGAGCTGGGCGAAATGAGAGATGAAATCAGGCAGCAGAATGTTGGCTGCGTCGGAGCGGGGTGGCGGGCAGGTGTGTCCACTCTACACCATCTCCTAGGCTTATCTTGGAAATCTGCCAGTGTAAAATGTACAGAATCGACAGCGAAGAAAAAGGACCTTTCCTTGCAGGACATTTGAGGCCTTAACCTCTGCTCGTTTGAATCGCTCCCTTCCCAGAGCTTGCTGTGTGCTGTCAAACTGCTCTTAAAGGAAGGTTCTACTTCCATAAATTTGAAACGGGGAAGTTTCATCAGAGATGCGTGGCAGGTATTGGGAAACTAATAAGGATGTCCCCAACAGGGACATGGCAATTGCAGGGAGAAAAGTACAAGCCAAAAGCATGGTATCTGAAAAAATAACCTGTTTAAGGGAGTGGCTTAGCTGAAATCTGGAGAAAACTGCAGGCTGCAATGCTGTGGAAAGGTAAGTTGAAGGGAGATCATGGAGGCTCTAGAATCAAAGTAGTTTAGCTGTTTGCTTAGCTGTTCATTTAGCTGTTCAGTGGGCAGTGGGAAGCCGAGAGGTTTGACCTGATTTATGCAGCTAGTTCCAACTCTGCAGAGTTCGCATGAGCAGAGTGGATGGCGATGCCCGGCACCTGCAGCTGAGCCCCGGGCTACAGATGTGCAGGAAGCCAGCTGGGAAGATGCTCTCGGCCTTCACCCAAGTCCTGCTGGGCCAGCCTGCCTGGCGAGGCCACTTCTCTAGAGTGTGGGCCCTGATTTCAGCCAGTGTGTTTTGGTAGTTTTTTTAATTGCAGTGTCACAGCGTGTAAGTTTCAGGTGTGCAGCGTTGAAATCAACAGACATCTATAGCATTCGTTTCACCACTAAGAGTCCAATTCTGTCATTTACAAACTGCAGTACCACAGTCCCCTTTCACCTCGTTTATGCACTAATTGGTTGTAGGGTCTAAAGGTTTTTATTTTGCTAATTTTTTTTTAAAGATTTATTTATTTGTACATACAGAACTGGGGTACAGGTCAGAGGCTCAGGGGTGGCGAAAGGCTTCACCAGAGGCAGAGTGGGGAGCAGAGCAGGCAGATCAACGAAGTACACTGCTGAGGGGAGCAGCGGGCGGGTCAGGAGAGGTCTGCCGTGCCATGTGGTCACCTCCGGGGCAGTCAGGAATCGAACTCATGCGGAAGTGGCTTTAGCTTCTCAGTGCAGTGCTTTAACCTGCTGCGCCACCAGAGAGGGCCCTATTTTGCTAATTTTTTAAAAAAGATTTTATTTAGGCATACAGAAATGGGGTACAGACCAGAGGTGCAGGGGTGGTGAGAGGATTCAACAGAGACGGAGTGGGGAGCAGAACAGGCAGATCGACAAAGTACACTGCCGAGGGGGCAGCGGGGAGACGAGAGGTCTGCCCTGCCATGTAGGTCACCTCTGGGGCGGGGGATCAAACTCACTGCAGCGGCCACCGCTTGGCTTAGCTTTGCAGTGCGGTGCGCCAATCTGCTGTGCCACCAGGGAGGGCCTGCTAATTATTTTTTAATTGTAAAATGTACACACCACCAAACTGACCTCATTGAGCATTACCCTCACCACCAGACAGCTCCCAGATGGAAACTCGTCTCCATTAAATGCCACATCCCTAATCCTGCTCCGCCCCTGCCCCCTGCTCTATTTCTGTCTATGAATTTGGCTGCTCTAAGGACCTCCCACGAGTGGAATCCTGAAATATTTGTCCTTTTGAGTATGGTGGCTTCCACAGGCATGTCCTCAAGCTTCCCAGTCACTGTTTTGAAGATTTGTGCTAGTCCTTGCTGGCCCTGGGGCGCAGGATGTCACGTGTCCATTAGCCATTGGCCCCTGCCCAACCTGTTGGGAGCTCGCCTGTTGGAAGGAAATAGTGGAAATGGCGCTTGCTTGTTAAGTGGGGGTGGTGAGCACGCTGGCGTGATTCCCAGGGAGGCTAACTAGGTTCCTAAGCATTGGGTCCAATCTCCTCTCCCTGATTTTGGGGGGGAGGTACAAAGGAGGGGGGCCAGGAGCCAGGTGGGTGAGAACAGGGAAGTGACGGTCATACAGGTGCTTTCTGATCCCTGTGATTTTTTGGTTGCTTTTTTCTGAATGAGCTTCTCCAGTGTCTGCTTCTTCATCTGCCTCTCCCACACCTAACAAGTGGGAGGTTAAATTGATAGGAGGTGAGGTAGGCAGACTGGGGTGCAGCCTGGGGTGGGTGGGTGAGTGGGAGGTGGCAGGGGCTGGAGTCTGCCTTGTGGCCGTGCCTCGGATGAGACAGGACCTGCCATGAGATGGTCATCTTGGCATCAGTTGAGGAGCTGCGGCTCCGGTCTCACCTGGCACGAGCAGCAGAGCTCTATTTCACAAGCAGACCTGCTACAAGAAGAACCCTCCATCTTAGAGATAGCTCCTGCCACCGTCTCGAGACCTGCTCTCCACAGGGACGGCAGCCTGGGCATTCTGGAGCACTTGGAGGGCATTTGCCATGTCTTGCCCCGAGCTGAATGGCTGATTGAACATCTTGCTGCTGTTTGCTGGAGGAGAGGCCGTGGACGCCATGAGCGGTTCCCAGAAACACACACTCCAGGGAGAAGCTACCAGAGAAGACTGCAGGAAATGCCTCTCAGCTGCTACATTTTTCCTCCAGATTCTGCAAGGCTGCTTCTGGGGTGTGGCCACTCCTTTTCTGTTCTGTAAGGGAGGGCTGGAGTGGAG